AAGTGTGGCCCTTATCACAGCAAGCCTATGAATTAGGCTGTTTACATCTTGCAGTCTTAACTGCTATGATATTTACCTGTTGTATTGGATTAGAAAGTTCCCCACATTTATTTTATCATTTAATATTCCAATCCCTTTCTTCCAAGGAAGAATTTTTTTAAAAATCTGCACTTAGGATCTTAGTCAACATCTCTGCAAGATACTCACCAAAAATATTTGTTTTTACAGTGATGGAAAGATGAGTATTGTTTCTCAAGATTTCAGTAGCTTTTGAAAATGTAATGTTCTCAAAGTTTTGCCCATTTACTTCCATTACCTATAGAATAACACAAACAAGTTAAGCCTGTAAGACACCATGCTTCTCAAATAATTTAGTACTTGATAACTTTATTATTGGTTCAGACTGAACTTGACATTTGATTACAAAATCACATTTTATTCATCTTAAACATCATCAGATTCAGTTCTTTTTTTCCCCTTTTTTTCTCAGTACATAAGAAAGAAATCTAATGGTTTGGCTTCACTAAGAAATGAAAGCCACAGTTTAACAAAGTTTTCAACTTATGATTGGAAGGATAACGATGTATTGGGGGGGAGGCATCTGAAACCAATAGAAAATATCTTGGCCAATATATTCAGCTAAATGTGTATGCCTATCTGTGTGTCACTTAACAAAATAGATAAAAAATATAACTGTTAAAATTTAAACTCACCTGATCACCACGTTTAAGCCCAGCTTCTGATGCTTTGCTTCCTGAGTCCACTGACTCTACAAAAATACCAAAACCTTTTTCGCTCCCTCCAAGAAGACTGAAGAAAAGTGGTGACTCTCTAGAAGGCTTTTGCAAGGTGACTTGTCTCCACTTTGCTTTTGCGGCACATGCAATGTTTAATAACCTGAGATGTCCTTTCATTTTCTGTAAATGGTCGGACAAGCAAACATGAATGTTCTGTTCTAAACAACATGAAATCCTAATTATGAAGGAGGAACTTATATAACCATTAATCATCGACAGTCATTGAATTTCTCAGATGGGAGATTTGTGAATAGGAGTTTTAAATTTGCAGCGTCAAACTGGAAGCCCACGGGTTGGATGCGTCACACACAGGCCACGCCCACCCCAGCTCCGCAAATGGGAAAAACTTCACAAAACATCACATGACAGCAACGTGATGCCGAGGGTTTGACACCTGTGCTCTAGATTCTTGACAGAAATCCTGTGCACCATGGATATCAATTATGATTAGGCACAACTCTGACTACTCCTACCAATTTCTAACAACAATGTGACAACAATGGAACCCTTAGAAGGAATTATGACACCACGTAGACAGGAGAGGGAGTGCAAACTTAAACTACTTCAGTTAAGAACCAGTTCTCACTGCTCTTTGTCATCCACGTTTATGGATAAATATTCTACCTTATTACAAAGTCTGCATCTCTTTGGGATTGGAGGCCCATAAATAGTGTTGAATACAAATTGAAGACTGAGCCCAGTCTTGCATAATTCCAGCCCCACAGTTCTTGTGGACTGATTTCGAGTTATAAAGTGAGAACTGCTGCTTAGGTGGCTCATAATAGTTGGTAAAACATGAAAATGATGGTAAAGAATTCCACTCCCCTTGGAATATCAAGAACAAAAGCCAGTTTCTTTGAAATTAAACAGCTCTATACAGATTGAAAGATTGGATAAATCTTTCAACACCCAAGGTTAAATGAGCAAATGACCAATTGAAGAAATATTGAGAAGAGTGGAATCCTGTCCAGCCATCCTGTGGTACTCATGGATCACAAGATTTCTACCAAAAACCCATCAGCTCTTAAAAAAATAATGAAATGCAGCTTTCTATAGGCATAAAATACCTCATTGTGAATCAGAGACCACAGGGAAGAACAGTCAAATTACTCAGTGTAATGTTCAGATTGTATAGGACTATCCTCCTGATGACCTTGATTCTAGGTTGTATGCCAAAACTGTGATGTAAAAATAAAAGTCCAACAGCTTGGGCTTAAATATATATACTTTCCTGAATGACATTCAAAACACAAATATTAATGATTTGTAGTACAGCCTTCTAAATATGTTTTGAACAGTTTTTTTTATTTTTAAAGAGGTCTTAGAAGATATAAATATAAAATATATACTATATAATAGTTTATATTGGGTCCTACCGCATTTTCCAAATGTTTTTCAAATTCTTCCAAAAATCTTGTCATGGCTGGATCTCCTTCAAAATCATTGAAATGGTTATTCACCCATAGCAGTACAACTCGAGTAACCTAAGAACAAATATAAGTTGACATTTCTATAAAATTCTACTGCTATTTCTAGATAAAACAATGCTTAAACTGTTTATCATTTCATTTTATGAGTTTAAATTACAAATTTAAAAAAAGAGAAAAATCATTAGTACAATACAATACAGTAACACTTAAGAGACCCAAGGATCCATGTAGTTTCAAAAGGATTTGAGAGCAGCCCTACCAGAATTTAAAAATTATAATTTATAACAGGGAAAAAATTAAATACATGAATTAAATATAATAATTTTAAATAAATTATTTCAAATTGAAAATACTGTAGGTTTATGGATGTTTTCTTGCAACTTTGAGACATTTTAAATGCCCAAAACTTCCAAATACTATTATGCTGATAATGAGTTCAAAGGCTACGAAAACAGGAATACATTCTTCCATTTAGCTATACATTACAGTTCAATTATTTCTATACTGGCCATTTCCCAATAACCTTATCAATAGCAAGAAATACCCAGTCACATAAAATGTTAGTCCAGATTTTGAACTGCAGTAACTTTGCATACAAAGTCAACATTATTTATGTCTTTACAATTTCTCAAGTACACCAACTAGTAATGTTTTTTTTAAAAAACTTTTTTATACATAGAGTGCGTCCATCTGAAGTAATGAAGGAGCATGAACTACTTTTTTTCTGTCCAGGAATTACATAGCCTATTACAAAGATCAGAAGGAAATCCTACCAGTCTTTATTATTCATTACTTGTTTTTTTGACAATATAAAATATGTCCACTTTAAATGTACATATTTTTTAAAACAACTCGAACCTTCCTTTGGCAAAAGCTAACTAGATTGAAGTATGTTTATTTAAATTAATAACTAGAATAAGCTTAATTTGGGATGCTACTTTTTGATAGCATAGCATGAATAATTGCATAGAATTTGTTCCTGTTAAAAACTCTCAATATACTTCAGAGAAGATAAAACACATCCAATAAGGTACGCGAAAAATTCAACTAGTTTTCATCAGTAGAAGTAACATTTATTTCAAACATGTGACAATTAGAAACACCAAATCAGTAATGTTTAATTTAGGAACCAACCTTGTCCCTGAGACTGTCAACCTGAAACCACTCTAAAAGTTTTTCTCCAACTTCCAGAGGGCTTGACAAAAATGTTCTGAATGTTAATAAAAAGTCTTCAATGTAAGTTGGATCCACAATAGAGTGCTCTTCTATTAAATGCATAATGAGGCGTTCAGGTGTAGCCTTAAAAACAAAGAGATTGCAGTGAATCTCCTGACAATTTAATTTTGTAGTATTATCAACCATTATATAATAAGAGATAGCGACACATGAATTCAATTCCTAAATGTCATAAACTTTTATGCTAAAACATTTGCCCACCTATCCTCCAAATTTTTCATATTAAAATCCTTCCTTATAAATATTTGCTATCCCTTGTTATTATTTCATGATAAACAATTATTTTCTCACCCATACACTTAAATGTGATAACTACCATTCTAATTTCTGATGCATCACTAATGCATTTCTAACCTAGCTACAATTATTTTTTAACAGCTGGGCCTGAGAAGCAATATGTGGCAGTTTCTTAACCCAACACTCACTGTAAGGAGAAAGATAGATATGATAATCTAAATTGAAAGTTTGGAGAGATCAGAACAGAAAACCTATATTATCTTCCTTTTTGGGAAAAGAAATATACTTGCTGTTATTTGTCAGGTGCCCAGGTAACTACAGGGATGTCTTATTTAACATCAGTAAGATACTAGAATCTTAGCCAAAGACCAGGTCAATATAATAAGCTATAATAACTCATTCTATTCATAAATCTTACTAATAAATACTACAAATAAACATTTAACTGTACAAATTTTCTAGATATTTATTTAGCATTATAATTCATACCATTTCTACATATTCAAATACTAAATTCATTTTATATATCTATGAATCAAAGAATTCCTTTGTCAGGTTAGTGTAGGCAACTCCAAAATTGCTTGTCCTTGGAGACTTCAATTTATTACCTTGTCATGTTGAGTTACAGTCATGTCAGGAATTTATGGCCTCTATGGTAATACGGATTGTCCTAAACAATAGAAGGCTGAATGCATTACTGGGGGTCATACATTGCATTTGCTTTTAGTCTCAGGGCAATTGCAATGTGATCTGGTTTTGAAGATATTACCATTAGTCTACTGATCATTTTTCAGCTGCTTTTGATAGAATCAACCATGGTATCCTTTTGGACTTGCTGTGGAGTTTGAGTTTGAGGGACATGGCAGCCAGTCTCAATCACTGTTGATAAGAGGGGAAGTGACTGGNACTTCATTGCACTGCCCAGAGTCCATTAGTTTTAGGTGGGTTATAATCTTGGCAAAATATGCCATTAATGGACTCATAATATTCCTAATACTGATTTACAAACAACCATTAACAACTAAGGCTTTTTTTTTCCAATTGAAGATGAACTTTAGACACATATCACAATAAAAAGAGACTTATTTCACCTGAAGGATTTGAAAAATCCAACATGCTAGTTGTGGGTTGCAGGAGATCAGGACTGCTAGATGAAAGAGTGCCAGGAATAGGCATAATTGCCAAACTGTGTCTGCACTGTCTTGTTCCCACAATGCTGTCATCTTGTGACTGGCTTACACTGCCATCACTGTAAGAGAGTATTAGAAAGCTGTCAATATAGATGATCCAGAAAAGAAATTATTTTAATAAAAACATAAGTGATGGAGGAACTCCAAAGGTACTTAGAAGAGCTAAAAGTCTGGAAATTAAGAAACACAGATGGAAATATTCCTTGCATAAAACTATCATATTGTTGATAGAAATTAAGAAATAGATTATTTATGGAACTCTGGGTTAAGTAGTAACATTTATTCTACTTGGCTTTTTTAGAATTGGTATAAAAGACAAGACTATGATACAGGTGGTCCTTGTTTAACAACTACTCATTCAGCAACCATTTGCAATGTGTTTGCAATGGCACTGAACAAGGGTAATTATGAGTCACTGAAGTTCTAGTCAGAGCAGCACCCCATATAACTGTGATCTGCACCTTCAGCCTTTGGTACAGATTTTTGACCGCTGCAGTGCCCCATGGGCATGTGACCACAATTTGTAACCTCCTCTAAAAATCAATGGAGCAGCTAGCAGGAAGCTGGATCATTTGAGTTCCTCATTAATGACCCACATGTTTCTTGTTTAACCAGGGACTGCCAGAGCTGCTGTTGCTAAGTAGCACAGTCATAAGACCTTGTGCTTTATGACCACTGTGTTTAGCAACAGAAATTTATCCCGAATACCATCATTACCTGTAACCTAAAAGAATGCAAACTCCTTTTCTACACTGAATTGAAACTTCCCCTGAATGCAAGTAAGATCCCAACACAAAGATAACTTTTAATTCAGTTAATAAATCTAGACCTTATGTTCTTGCATATGTACTGATAATATCATACTTGGAATAGTGAAAATGAGTTCTTTAGTGTAAAAATTCTAATTTTTATTAGCACTACAGCTGAAGAATTCGATAAACAGGAATTTCCTTTAAAAATCTCAAGAACTAAATAAAAGGGTTGATGGGATAAAAAGATTGTACAAAGTTGGATCACCAATAGTACTCATTTTAACAAATCTTAAAACATTTTCAGTTCCCTTAAAAAAAGTGCAATATTTTATCATACCTGAATAGTTTTGGAGGCAAGATACTGAATCTTGTCTTATCTAAAATTTTCTTGATTCTGTTTCTTCCTCCAGACACAGTGTTTGCTTTCAGTTTCTTGTTTGCTTTCTCACGTGGAAACATTTGTTCCACATCTCCAGGAATATCTGGGATGGAGTAACGATTATTTTTCTTTTCTGCTATTTTGGGAATATGTGGAACTCCATTCTTCTCCTGTCCTATCCTACTAAGTAGTTCTTTGAATACTGTAAAAATGTAGAAAATATATTCCTTTATTAGAACACATGCTTGTTTAAAACTGTATTTAGAATCAAAGGTAATTAAAATTCACAGTAAATCAAAGATAATAGTAAAACCTATCAAATTCTCTCTATAGAAATTTTGCTGTACATTAGTGCAATTTAATGATGTGCAGCATGATGACAGTTTTATTCATCTTTTCCAGCTGATGACCACCAATTTATTTCTAAATAATTATACATCCAACTGTCCCAGAAGTTATGGGTAATGATTGTTATATTAAACTAGATTAGATGGATCAAAAAAAGTAAGATGTTATTACAACAGTGATAACTTCATAGCATACACAACCACAAGAAAATTCATAATTTTGAAGTGGGAGGCTGAAGGAATGAAATATACCTTAAATTCCTCACAATACTTTAGTTCTGCCCATCCTAAAAGTGCTCTAGGCCAGGGGTCCCCAACACCCAGTCCGCAGCCCTTCTGCTGGGCCACAGCCAGTTTGGAACCGGACCACAGAAATGGTGGGCAAAACTGCATTTGTGAAAGTGGCGTGCATGTGCATGAAACAATCCCTTCTTCCACTTCAAAATT